ATCCCCTATTATGGTATCCCCTGCCCATGGTGACCCTGTCCTTATGGCAAACCCCAGTGGCTCTGGCTTCCCGAAGTGACTCTCACCCCATGGTGTTCCCTGTCCACTATCCAGGGTGATTCTCTTTGATTCCCACTCACCCCCCCACCTCACCTCCACCCTTCTCCTCCCTAGGGATCCCCAGGAAGGGACGGAGCCCCTGGTGTCCGAGGAGACAAAGGAGATGTTGGCTTCATGGGTCCCCGGGGCCTCAAGGTAGGAAGGAGATGTTTTTTGCTCCTGGTCAGGAAGGCTTGATGTGTGAGGGTGAGGGATCGGGTCAGATGTTGGGGTACCCAGGGCTGAATGTGTGCTGTTAGCGCAGGGGTTGAGTGTCTGAAGCCAGTTTGGTTTGGAGAGCTGGTTTTGGGGTAAAGGGGTCATAAGGTGAGGTGTCCAGAAGTGGCTTTTTCACCTGCTTTTCCCCCTCAGGGTGAACGGGGGGTGAAGGGAGCCTGTGGCCTCGATGGAGAGAAGGGAGACAAGGTACAGAGGGGCTGGGGGCTGGGGCTACAGGGCCTGGGGCCTAAGGCTGACCCCTTCACCTGATGCCTGCAGGGAGAAGCTGGTTCCCCGGGCCGCCCCGGGCTAGCAGGACGCAAAGGAGAGTTGGTAAGTGTGGGGCACGCCCAGAATGAGGAGGGGCTGAGGGGCCAAGCAGCCAGGACCGAGCTCATGTCTTCTTTTCTCCAGGGGGAGCCTGGTTTGCCGGGCCAGTCGGGGGCCCCTGGCAAGGAGGGTCTGATCGGTCCCAAGGTACAGGGTCTCTCACTGGTGAACATGGTAGGGGGTCAGCATGGGCATGGAAGATCATGTAGGGTCATGGGGGTTTAGGGTCCAGGAAGGTCATGGTGGGTTGGGGCATTGGGGGTGGAGGAGGCTGGTTTCAGGAGGGCTGGGGTCTCAGTGGAGGGTTAGGATGAAAGGAAGAGAGGTAGCAGGGGCAGTGTGCATCAGGGCAGGGGGCTCCAGTGGGGTTGAGGTCACTGGGACCACAGCACAGGTGTGGTAAGGGCACAGGTGCTTGGGTCATGGAAGGTTGGAGGTCTTGGGCCAGGGGGTTCACAGGTGTCAAGGAGCTTAGGGAGGGCAGGGCAGGTCTCTCATGCTTCTTCTGCTTCCAGGGTGACCGAGGCTTTGATGGGCAGCCAGGACCCAAGGGTGACCAGGGTGAGAAAGGGGAGCGGGTAAGTTGAGGCCAGGGCCATGGTGAATTGCGGGTGTGTTCTTTGGGAGTGGATCTATCTCTGGGGGCTCTGGTCAGTGACCCTGTGCTATCTCTCCCCAGGGGTCCCCAGGAATGGGGGGCTTCCCAGGTCCCAGGGGCAATGATGGCTCTAGTGGTCCCCCTGGGCCCCCTGGCAGTGTTGGTCCCAAAGGCCCTGAAGGACTTCAGGGCCAGAAGGTAAGGGACCTCAACTCTGACTCCTGGGCTCTGAACCTCCCTACCCAACCCTCTGCCATTCCAACCTTGAAACCCATCCTCCAGCCTCCCTGCCCAGCCTCTGAAGCGATGATCTGCAACTTGCCTGACTTCTAGCCCCCACGCCTCTGCCCTTGCTCAGTCGGTCCTTGTGTCTGACAGGGCGAACGAGGTCCCCGTGGAGAGAGTGTGGTGGGAGCCCCTGGGGCCCCCGGGGCCCCTGGTGAGAGAGGGGAGCAGGTGAGTGGGGATTCCTGGGCTTAGGGTCAGAGATTGGGCTGACCACGGGGTCCCTGAGATCAGAAGTGACAGCCTGGTCCCATCCATTGCACATAGGGGCTGCCAGGGCCCGCTGGTCCGCGTGGTGAGAAGGGAGAAGCTGCACTGACAGTGAGTGTGGGCTTGGGGGTGCTGAGACCGTGCTTCCCTCTGGGGCCCTGGCTCCATGCTGTCCCTCCATGGTCCCTCATTATGTGCCCTGTGTCCTACTTGTGATCCATGGGTTCTTCATGGTCCCTGTGGTCTTGTGCTCCCAGGAAGATGACATTCGGGGCTTTGTGCGTCAGGAGATGAGTCAGCATTGTGGTGAGTGGGGCCAGCTGGAGTCTCCGGGGTCCCACCCCTCCTCCACCCCAGCACCCCCAGACAGGGCCAGGCAGTCCCCAGAACTTACAAGGGGCAAGTGGCTGAGGAAATGGGTGGGGGTGGACGGATATACAGAAGCGCCCACACGCTGATGGCACTGCGCCCAACGGAGGGTACACAGGCACACGTGGGTGCCGTGTTCCTGGGTGTCCAGCATGGCCACATGGCGGGGGGCGTGGGAGTAAGAGCAGGGCTGGTCCCAATGGGACTGATGAGGACCCAGGTGGAGCTGTGATGACCCTGAGGGGCATCAGAGTGTGAATCTCTGTCTCTCCCCGACTCTCTCTGCCCGCACCTGCCTTCCCTCTCTCCATGGCCGTCTGTCTCTGACTCTCCCTCTGTCTCTTGCCCTCTGTTGGCCTGTTCCCAACTTCTCTCTGCTCCTTCCTTTCTTCTCTGCCTTTCTTCCTCTCTTTCCCTCTACCTCCCACCCTCTCTCTCCTCTCTCCTGCTGTCTATGTATATCTCTAACCCTGTGTGTGTCTCTGTCTCACCATCTTTCCATCTTTGTCTGTCTCTTGCTCTGTCATTGTCCCTCTCTGCCCCCTCTGCCCCTCCAGCTTGCCAGGGCCAGTTTATCGCATCTGGATCACGTGAGTAAACTGCTCGCAGAACTTTCTTCACCCTAGACCCTGCCCTGCCTATCACCTGGGCCCTCTCAGTGGGGTTTGGCTGGTGTGGCTGCCCATGGTGACCCCAGAGCCCTGTGCCCCCTGCTTTTGGCTCCAGGCCCCCTCCCTAGTTATGCTGCAGACACTGCTGGCCCCCAGCTCCACCCTGTACCTGTGCTCCGGGTGTCTCATGTGGAGGAGGAAGGTGAGGACAGCTGGGCCCATGGGGCAGGTATGGGTGGGGCCTGGACATGCACATGGGTGCTCATATTTGCAGGGCACATGCCATGCACATAGGGGCTGCATGCAGGGCACATGTGTGAGCACTCTTGTGCACACACGGGAGATCAGTGCTGGTCATGCCACGCTGGGGCCAGCTGCTGCGGCTCACAGCACACCCTTCCCTGCCCGCAGACCAGGTGCCCCCTGAGGATGACGAGTTCTCTGAGTACTCTGAGTATTCTGTGGAGGAATACGAGGACCTTGAAGCTCCTTGGGACGGCGTTGGTGAGAATGAGGGCTGGGCCCAGAGGGACCCAGGTAGGAGCAGGCAGAGCTGATCCCTGCTGACCTCTCTGACCCACCGTCCATCTCTGATCCCACCACCCTGCTGACCTGACCCCCATTGGCCCCAGACCCCTGCTCCCTGCCGCTGGATGAGGGCTCCTGTACTGCGTACACCCTGCGCTGGTACCATCGGGCTGTGCCGGGTGGCACGGAGGCCTGTCACCCCTTTGTCTATGGCGGCTGTGGAGGGAATGCCAACCGCTTCGGGACCCGTGAGGCCTGTGAGCACCGCTGCCGGCCCCGGGTGACCCAGAGCCAGGGCACAGGTATGGGCTACCCCCACCCCAAGAGGGTACTGGGCACTGAGCCAGCCCCAAGCAGGTCCTGGGGGAGGAGTCCTTGGGTCAAGGTTCCAGGTCAGGGTCTTGGGGAAGAAGCTCCCTCAGACTAAGGGACTGGGGACTCCAGAGCAAATAACTGAATCCAGAGCCCCGGCCTGGAGCCCCCAGTATGGTCCCCTTCCACGTTCCCTCCTTTAAATACCAGAGCATGTGTCCCCTCTCTGAGGCCAGAGCCCCGCCCTGCTGTGGCCTCAGCTCCCTCCCTGTGGATGCTTTTGCCTGTGTTTCCATGTGGCCACACGCTGGGTAAGAAGGTCACACGGCTCACACGGCTGAAGACAGTTTCCAACCTGCATCCCGCAGGTGCCGCCCGGAGCTGAGGCCCGGATGATGAGCTGAAGTTCAGCGTCCCCTGGAGGAGTGGGGGTCTCAGCAGGCCCTGCTGTCCCTCCCCTTGGTGCTAGAGGGCTGTGTGCACGTGAGCGTGCATGTGCGTGTCCGTTATTTCAGTGACTTGGTCCCGTGGGCCTCGCCTTCCCCCCTGTGGACAAACCCCCATTGTGGCTCCTGCCTCCCTGGCAGATGACTCACTGTGGGGGGTGGCTGTGGGCAGTGAGCGGATGTGACTGGCATCTGACCTGCCCTTTGACCCAAGCCTGTGATGACATGGTGCTGATTCTGGGGGGCATTAAAGCTGCTGTTTTAAAAGGCTCCTGTTGTGACTATTTGGGGAGATGGGGGTGTCAGAAAGGCAGGTTTTCCCTGGGTGGCCAGTCCAGTCTGCATGGATACAAAGTCCCTCTGCCCATCCCTGCTCACTGTCTTGTGATCCTCTGTCCCCAACTTGTTCCCAGAAAGGAATAGATAGGGTGGGAGCTGAGGATGTGTCCTCACTGCCCCCCAGGAGGGGATGAGTCATAAGTTGGGGGCTACCTCATGCCGGGAAACATGCCCACTTCCCACCCCAGGGGGCTGAGGGAGATAAATGGGCCCTGAAGTGGGGCAGAGGGTCAGACCTCAGGACAGCACTGCTGGCCCAGCCCCGGGCATCCACGGCAGCCCGACTAACCCCAAGAAAGCTGGTAGCGGTAGGACTGGGTTGGTTGGGACGGGAAGGGTGTTGGGGGTCAAGTGGACCGGGGGTCTGGGTTAGTGGAAGGCTCTGGGTCTGGAGGGCTCTGGGACCTCTGGCTGCTCCTCAAGTACCCGCTCCTGCCCTTCTCTTTCCTGGCTCAGCTGCAGTCTCCTGCTCGGAACCCCTACCTCTCATTCTGAGCCTCTGTTTTCTCTGTCTCTGGCATGGTTTCTTAGCTCTTTCTGTCTTTTTCTTCCAGTCTCCCTCTATTTCGCTCTGCCTCAATCACATTCATCTCCCCCTTCTCTCTCCCTCCCTCTCCTCCTCTTTCTTTCTCTCTGTCTTTTTCTCTAGTCCCCTTCTCTGTCTTGATCTTCTCTGTCTCACTCCGGCTCTTCTCTTGTCTCTTCCTTTCTGTTTCTGTCTCTATCTTGTCCTGGCCTCGCTAATCTCTCGATCTCTTACTCTCAGTCTCTCAGTCTCCCTCTCTGTCTCTCTGTTCTCGCCTTCTGTCTCTGTCTGTGAACCACAGTTGACCAGAGCCCCTGCCCTGAGCCTGTTTTCTCCTCGCAGCCTGACCACACGATGACCAGGTGGGCTCTGCTGGTGCTGATGGCCCTGATGTTGGGCAGGATCCTGGTTGTCCCAGCGACCCCTGTCCCAGCCTTCCAGCTCCTCCCTCAGAACTCTCCCCAGACCACTCCCTGTCCTGTGGCCTCAGCTACCATCTCAGCTACCCGGGGCCACCCCAGCCTTGGTCCCCGCCCTGGCCCACGCATCACCCTCTCACTGGATGTCCCCATCGGCCTCCTGCAGATCCTACTGGAGCAAGCCCGGGCCAGGGTGGCCAGGGAGCGGGCTGCCACCAATGCCCGCATCCTGGCCCATGTTGGCCGCCGCTAAGCCCGATGGAGGGGCCACAGTGATGGGGCTACCCTGAATGGGAAGAACTGGAGGACAGCAGCAGAGCTGGATGGTATTACATCTGGGCAGGGTGCATGTGGACACTGCCACATGGGCCTGCTGCCATGTGGTGTCATATCACGTCTGAGCATCCTACAGAGTCACAGTGTGTCTGGACAGGCTGGACATTGCTATGTCAGGTCACTGCCACAGGGAGTCTTGCCACACCTATGTGCCTCACAGACTGACAGTATGTCTGGACAGCTTGAAAACTACCACATGAAGTCACTACCATTCCGAGTCTTGCTACGTCTGGGTAGCAAGTCACAGAGCAGCTGGACGCCACCACATGTGGTCGTCATCATGTTACCTTCAGGAGCCTCAACAAAAGAGCCCAACACTGCATCTGAGACCATTCCCACAGGTCTGCCCCCCATTGGCCACCACACAGGGTCGTGTTGGCTAAGGGTCACATGCATGTTCCATGCTCCATGAGGCAGCACCTGCCCCAGATAGATGGGGCTGTCAGGGGCATCTTCAGGCACAAATGGCCACACACGGGAAGTCTGTGACCATGGGAGCCTTAACCCTGTGGGTGTGTGCACGCATGGGTGGCTGAGTCTGTGCCTCCTGCACGTGTCTGATAGCTGTGCATGTGTGTGAGCAAGGTGTGGCATGTGTGGGGGCTGGGAGGAGTGGGTGCTTGTGCCTGCAACCCGCACAAAGCACGTACAACTCATAGCTAGGCACTGTCCCACCTGTACCTGCACACCCAGCCTCAGCGCCTGGACACACATGGCTCAGGGGCTCCATCCCAACTCGGCCCCTTCCTCACCAAAATGTCCTAAGCAAAGGGGTTCACCTTTCTAAGCCTCAGTTTCCTCATCTGTAAAGCAGAATGATGCCACCAAGCTTCTTGTGAGCATTGTGTCCGTGGTGTGCATGAAGCTCTGGCTTGCAGGAGGTGCTCAATAAATGTAAAGTGACTGAAGGATCGGATGGATGAGAATCACACTGTCACATGCACCCAGGCGGTGACACATGAGGTCTGAGTCACACCTGGCTTCTCTGCCCTTCCACATCCCCCACCTCCTTAACCAACCTGGTCCCTTGGTTTGGAAGGACTAGGCTTTGCCTTATTTCCCTCCCCAGCTCCACTGCTGGGCTGGAGATGGGACTGACTTTCTGGGCTGCGTGGACGGGCTTGTCTGCAGGTGGGGCAGGCACTCTGGGTGGTGTAGACGACTCTAGCTGGAGATGAGAACAGACACTGGGTAGTCTGGGCAGCTCTAGTCTGGATAGAGAGGCTGGATAGAGAGGCAATGCTGGAGGCAGTGTGGCTGCCTGCCTGGGGTGGGGGCATGGACGTTGACCTCACAACCGTGAGCAGCCCTGGGGGGGGGCGGGCCCAGCCGGCTTGAGAGGCGTGGCTGCAGGGCAAGCGCTGCTCTCTCTGGTCGAGCTGCAGGGTAGGCGGGCGGGCGGGGTTACCCCACTCTGGAGCTGCAGGGGGCGGTGGCCCTGGCCAGTTCGGTTGCGGGATGGACAGAGACATGTTAGGAGGCAGCTCCCTGACGGACCCGGGGCCGGGGAGCGGCAGGCAGGGTAGGCACGGGAGACAGCAGGGGAGGCGGGGGGGGCGCAGGGGCGGCCCGGCCGGGATTAGGAAAAGACCTGGGTGTAGTAAGGGGGGTGCTGGAGGGGTGTGAGAGTGTTGGGGTTCTCTCCTCCCATCCGGTGCTCTGAGGGGTGCCAGTCTGTCAGTGGCCTGGAGGAGGGGGAGCATTGTTGCCTTGCAGGGGAGAGGGGGCTGGGCCAAAGGGGAACTATAAATAGTGTCTTCCTCCAGCCCAGGGGAGGGACAGCGAGCTGGAGCTGCCCCAGGCGAGGCGCTCCTGCTCTGCCCTGCTCTTCGCTGGCTTCCAAGGGGTCATGTTCCTCCAGGTCTCCCCTCAGGGGTCATATAAATTTGGGGAGGTCCAGAGGCTCATTTGGGAGATTTTTCATATGATGTGGCTTTAGTCCTTAAGACAACATTTCTTGGGTGCCTTCTGTGTGTCCTGAGCCAGTCCTGAGTTTCTCTAAACACCTACTGTGTACTCTGTGCTGGTCATGAGCCTCTCGGAGTCCTTTCTGTGTGCTCTGGCTGGTCCTCAATCACTAAGCACCTACTGTGTACCCTGTGCTAGGCTAGAACGAGGAAGCGCAGACCAGGGTTCCCAGGCTGCTTGGTCACAAGGCTCTATACCCCCAAATTGGAACCTCATACTCCCTATGAGTTCTGTGTCCAGGGAGATGGTGGGGACAATCCTTTGCTGGAAATGGCTAGAGGAAGCTGGAATTCCTGGGAATTCCTGATCTCCCAGTGACAGCAGGGGTGGAGGTGGGGGATTAAAGAGGAAGGGAGGCAGCAGAGAGCAGCAGGCCCTACTGTATGTAGCCTGCTGTCCATGTGCACATGCCTGTGTGCAGGCCTTCTGTGTGTGCATCTGTGTGTATGCATGTGCAGCCCAGCCGGTGTTCTGTGTGCATTGGCGTGTGGGTCTGTGCGTCACGCACTGATGTTGCTGGGTCTTTATGCTGCAGAGTGGTTTGGCGGTCTGTTAGGACTGGCCAGCAGATACAGGGACTGGGAAGAGTTTGAGCATTCAGAACTGAGAATTGAGAACTTCGGCTACCCCAGGCTTCTAGCCTGGGACCCTGGGAGGAGGTCCAGTGGTCAGTGCAGGGGGTGCCGTGGGAGCCAACTGGGGCCGGGCCAGCCAGGTTCCTGGGGGGGAGAGACTGAGCAGGACGTGTTCACACACAAGTGCACCCTGACATCCCAGCGCGCCTCCCGCGCCTGGGACAGGACAGCGGGCTCACTTTGGGATGCCCGGAGGAGGGAAACGCCGTGAGGGCCAATTGCTGTACTGGGCACCTACTGGCGCTGAGGGAGCAGGAAGGCAGGAGAGCATGTCGATGGAGGGAACGAGCAAGAGCCAGGTGTGCAGGTGGGGAGCATGGTGACAGTGCAAGGTGTGGAAGGTGAGGTTGTGAAGGGCTGGGGTTGAGCTAAGTCCATGTCACACCAGGGGCTGGCTCTCTGATCCGGTGCCCTCTCCCCTTCCCGACCCTGTTTCCCAACTGAGAAATGGGGCCATGGGAGGGGAGACAGAGAATATCCTCAGAGCAGATGTGGACCGTGGACTCGGGGAGCAAGCCTAGCCTTCTCCTGATGTTGACCTGTGGCCTCCCTGCTGGATACAGGCACTTGGGAGGGTATGACTGGGTCAGCTCAGGGTCAGACTTTTTGGGGAAGAGTGGGAGGTACAGAGCTGCTGCATTTCGTGGAACCAGCCTCATACTGAGTGTGGGGGTGGCTTCCTAGAGGCAGTCCTGGCCTTCTGCCCTATCTGTCTTGACTGCTACCCCCACCCCAGGCCTCGATTAACACTCCAGGAGAGCTGGGAAGAGAAGGGTCAGGCCTGAGGAGTGCTGGGTATATGTTAGGGGAGGAAGCCTTTGCGATGAGTGCTGCCAGTTGGACAGGGCGTGGACAAGTGGTGATGAAGTCTCTGGGGTCAGGGTGGCTCCAAGATGGCCTTGGCAGTGGCCAGGAGACAGGATGCCTGGCTGTGTCAGGATTAGAATGAGTAGCTTCGGAGAAGTAGGGAGCAGGTCACAAGGGGCACCCTGCTCATCAGGAGCCGCCCATGGGTGTGCTCAGGGCCACTGGGAGTGGGGCGGAGGGAGGATGAGGAAGGAGGAAGTAGTTGGCCTTGCCTGGTGCGGGGCATTCACAGGGTAGGCACGTAGAGCTGGTTTCAGGGAGGGTCCAGGTGGGCTCCCAGCATGTGGACCTTCTGAATCTTCATTTCCTGTGAAGTGGGCAAGACATCTGTGTCAGAGTCATCTTAAGGGTCCTTGCCAGTCTCTGAAGCACTGGGTTGTGACTTGGAGGACTGACCCAGGGCCAGGCTGTGACAGGGAGGGCATGGGAAGGGGGCTACACTTATGCTGCATGAGGTCAGCCTTATTCTCCGTGCCCCTAGCACCTGGCTCCTGGCTGGGCACACACTGGGCAGAGAGAACTTGAAGATGCAGGGACCCTTCCAGGGGTGTTGTAGAGGACATCAATAGAGGGCAGTGTGACCCAAGTTCAAGCAGTGTTGGTGTGGACTGGGGCAGAAAGTGTACAACACTTAAATAGGCAAGGCTGGAGGAAAAGGGAGGCAGGAGTCTGCAGGGTCACGTGGGGTCCAAACAAGAGCAAGCCTGGGGTTCTTGAACTTCTGGATCTCTTCCCTGTCCCTTGTCCCCAGAGCATTTTCAAAGACAAGAGTGAAATGAATAAATGACAACACTAATGTGTTTTAAAACAGATTTCTGAGATTGATACATTTAATCTATACCATAATCTCATAAGACTGATTATATGCACATCTCATTTTCCTGATGAAGAGACAGAGGCTTAATTGGGGCTAGGCGCGGTGGCTCACACCTGTAATCCTAGCACTCTGGGAGGCCGAGGCGGGAGGATCGCTTGAGCTCAGGAGTTCGAGACCAGCCTGAGCAAGAGCGAGACCCTGTCTCTACTATAAATAGAAAAAAATTAGCCAAACAACTAAAAATAGAAAAAATTAGCTGGGCACGGTGATGCGTGCCTGTAGTCCTAGCTACCTGGGAGGCTGAGGCAGGAGGATTGCTTGAGCCCAGGAGTTTGAGGTTGCTGTGAGGTAGGCTGATGCCATCGCACTCTAGCCCAGGCAACAGAGAGAGACTCTGTCTCAAAAAAAAAAAAAAAATGTAATTGGTAAAAATGAAATTCTGGAAAGAGAATTAAGATACTGCCAGGGCTTAGAGAGTCCCCAAAGTACTTGGTTGCCTGTTACCAAGTTCCAGCATTTGCCACAGGTGGGTCAGGGTTAGCAGCCAAGGCAAAGAGAGAAACAGGATTGATTCTAAGATCTGTCCTGTGTCCCTGTCCATGAGATGAGGAGCTTTTCCTGTTTGGTTGAGCAGGTAGCTTCTGTGGGCTGAGGAGGGTCCCAGGGCTCAGAGCAAACCAGGGGGCCCCAGTGCAGGGCCAGGAAGGCGCTAAGGAGTTGACAGAGACAGCAAGCCTGGTGGCCCCCGCTAAATCTGACCAACCTGGCCAGGCGCATCACGCAGGCCTAATCCCACAGCGAGCCCTCCTGGGGGCCCTCAGGTGACGCATACCTCGGGGCGTAACCCACGCGTGCTGCGGAGGCGTGGCTGCAGCGCCCGGGGCGGGGCCCATAGGGAGGCCTATGCAAATCAGCGCGGTTGGGCAGGGAGGGCCGCGTTTGCGCATCGGAGGCGGGGCCTGCGCAATCCGGGCCTTGGTCCGGGGCGGGGCCTGCACAAACCGGAAGCTGGGCGTGCGCTTCTCGGTCCTGGAATGAAGACCAGGACCCGCTTGGAGCAAAACGGGCCCGTAGGACAGCTGGGCATGCGTGGTCGGAGGCCAGGCCCTCCCCTGTTGGGGTGGCGCCTATGCGTTCTGGGGCGGGGCCTGCGGGAAGATGGACAGGCGCTGTCGCGGCATGAGCAGGGGCGGGGCCCAAGAGGCGGGACCTCGGGTGGCCCGAGGTGGCCCGGTTGCTGGGTTGGAAGCGGCGTAGTCCGACTCATCCCGGCCCCGGGATGGCGTCCCCACGGGAACTGACCCAGAACCCCCTGAAGAAGATCTGGATGCCATACAGCAATGGGCGGCCAGCTCTGCACGCGTGCCCGCGGGGTGGTGAGGCGGGGTCCGCGGGGAAGGGGGAGGGAGGTGCACCAGGATGGGCGGCCTGGGCGGGGGTCTCTAATGGAGAGGGGACCAGGGACAGGTGGTGAACCGGGGACAGGTGAGGCTGCCATGACTGATGGGGGCGGTGATGGCAAGTGGGGGCTGGGACAGGTGAGGCGGCCGTGACAGTGGTGGGCCAGAGACAGGTGTGGCAGAGTAGGGGGCGGGGACAGGTGTGTGGGGGCGTCTTGGCCTGGCAGAGACTAGGTCTGGCCACGAACGAACGCCTCCTGGAGGATGCCGGTCCCCTTTCTCCCCATTCCATCCCCACTGCCCTCAGCCAGGGGAGTATGGGCTAGGTGGTTGGACTGGAACTGAGCTGTGTGGCCCTTGGAGAATCACTTGGCCTCTCTGAGTCCAAAGGCATAAGCATGGGCTAGTTCTCCAACTGGGGGAAGAATGCCCCTGAGCCTTAAAAACTGAATTTTGGTAGGAACTTCAGGATAGAAACAATGAGACCACTGTGCCATGTGGGTCTGTGTGTGTGTCCACTGGCATGTAAACATCCATGTGGTGTCATGGGCGAATGACAGAACTGCAGTGTGAAACATCTAAGAGATACGCTGAAATTGCCACTCTAACTGGTGTCCCGGGTATTTAAAACACTTGCTTGGATTTCTGCCTGTCCTTAAATGAGTCTGCAGCTTTTTTATTACTAGGAAGAAGAAAGGTTTTAGGAGCAACTGAAACATTGTTAATGAATTTGCAACTTGGCAAGGACCTCGGAGAACATCTAGTTCAACTCATGGAGATCAGGAAGGAGATTGTGTGACGTGCTGGGGTCTCCCTGTACTCCTGACCTCTGCTTACGTGTGATAAGGGAGGGGAGAGCGCTCTGTGCTTGTCACGCTTCAAAGCCAACCTGTGGCCATGGCTTTGACCATGATAGGAGTCCTGGGGGAAGGGTGTGTGTTCATCTCTGACCACACTGTGGGTCCTGGTCGGGGCGCCTGTGTTTCTGACCAGACTGAGTTCTGATGGGTCGTGGCTCTGCCTATGATATAGGTGCCAGTGGGGTTACAGGTGTCTTCGAGACCCACTCTGAGTCCTGAGGGGCTATGGCCACTGCCTGACCAGCTCTCCTCTGAGACTCTCCTGGAGGTGTGGAGGCCGAGGCCCCCTCTTCTTGTGCTTTAGCCGTTCAGGTTAGGGCTGTGTGGTCCTAACTAGTTTGGTGGTTGCTGTTATTACATAGAGGGGAAGGAGTGAGGACCTGGGCTTTGGAGGCAGAACTCAAGCCACATCCTGGCTCAGCTGCATGAGCCTAGGCCTTAGGTTCCTCACATGTGGGATGGGACAGTCACTGTCCCTGTTTCATGAAGCACCTGTAAACCTTTAATGACACTGCACCCCTGCTATAAGGGGAACAGGTCATTTCCTCATCACCACCATTCTTTCTTTGCTTCTCACTACGTCTGGGTGAGGAACTGAAGAATCAGCTCCCAGCCAGCCCCCTATTACAGGTGGGAGGGAGCCTGCCCGGGTCTCACAGCCACTGAGGCAGGGCCTGTGTTTCTCCATACTCTAGTGTGGGATTAAAATGTGGCTCAGGGCCAGGTGCGGTGGCTCACGCCTGTAATCCTAGCACTCTGAAAGGCCGAGGCAGGCAGATTGCTCAAGGTCAGGAGTTCGAAACCAGCTTGAGCAAGAGCGAGACCTTGTCTCTACTATAACTAGAAAGAAATTAATTTGGCCAACTAATATATATAGAAAAAATTAGCTGGGCATGGTGGCGCATGCCTGTAATTCCAGCTATTTGGGAGGCTGAGGCAGCAGGATTGCTTGAGCCCAGGAGTTTGAGGTTGCTGTGAGCTGGGCTGACACCATGGCACTCACTTTAGCCTGGGCAATAAAGTGAGACTCTGTCTCAATAAAATAAAAATGTGGCTCGGGGGCCAGGTGTGGTGGCTCAGTTTGGAATCCCAGCACATTGTATTATTTGAGGCCAGGAGTTGGAGACTAGCCTGGGCAATGTAGCAAGATCCCATCTCTACAAAAAATAAGAAAAATTAGCCAGGTGTGGTGGTGAGTGCCTGTTTACTCAGGAGGCTGAGGCAGGAGGGTCACTTGAGCCCAGGAGTTCCAGGCTGCAGTGAGTTATAATGACACCACTGCACTCTAGCCTGGGTGACATAGCCAAACCTTGTTTCTAAATGAATAAATGACCAACCAACCAACCTTGTGCCATTAGTGTCTCAGGGTATTCTCAGGGTGTTGGAGCAGGCTGGGCTGTGGGTCCACACCTTCCTGGAGGAGGAGGTGCCACCCCAGAGGCTAAAGATGAGACCTACAGGTTGTGTGGGGGTGGCCCCAGAGTTCACAGCAGGGAATGGATAAGCAATGAATGAAAGGGTTCCCTCCCACCCCCCAGTCTAGATCCAGTTACTTGCCTCACAGCAATCTAATTATTGAGACTAGGATTGCCAAGGAAGAAAGGAATTTTTAATACATCTTGCTGGAAGAAGCTGCCTCAAATCTGTCTCTCCAACTAAGGGATGGGCTTTTAAAGGAAGGGGTACATGCCTTGGCGGCAGGTTGTGCATGATGGTGAATCTTTTTTTTTTTTTCAGACAGAGTCTCACTTTGTTGCATGGGCTAGAGTGCTGTGTTGTCAGCCTAGCTCATAGCAACCTCCAACTCCTGGGCTCAAGCAATCCTACTGCCTCAGTCTCTGGAGTAGCTGGGACTACAGGCACACGCTACCATGCCTGGCTAATTCTTTCTATATATTTTTAGTTGGCCAGTTAATTTCTTTCTATTTTTAGTAGCGATGGGGTCTCACTCTTGGTCAGGCTGGATGATAGTGAATCTTGGTGTCAGGAAGTCTGCCCTAGGGGCTTCAGAATCTCAACTCCTTTGTTCTGTAGAAAATCCATTATTTCTGGATTTTCTGTGGGTTGGTTCATGCCTACTATCCCTGCACTTTGGGAGGCCTAGGTGGGAGGATCACTTGAGGCAAGGAGTTCAAGTCCATAATTTCTGGGAAATAACTCAAAGGGTCAAGTAGTTAGTTAAGGGAGAGGGTTATAAAAAACACATAGGGGTTCATGGAGCCTGTTACCATGGAACCCACCTGTGCAGCACTCCAGCTCCCAGCACCTGCGTTCATGCAGCCTATTCCCCTTTGCACAGTGACTTGTGACTAGGTCGATGACTGCAAGGAGAGTAAGGACCTTGGGAGCCGGTGGGAGTTGGTTTGATCACAGGGCTTCATGGGGAGGAGGAAGCAGTGCCACCGTGGGTCTGTGCTGTGTCCTGGCTTTTCTCTGGGGTCTGGTCCTCAGCTCCTCAGGGCAGCTGGGGCTGGCTGATTGAGGGGTATCTTGTGTCTCCTCCACCCCCACTCTCCATTAGCAGTTCTTCCCCCACTTGATACAATTTAGAGCCACACCTGACGGCCTGGACACTCTTACCTCCCCATCACTGGCCCCTCAGCTCAGAACTGGAGGAGCTCTGTGGGCAGGTGGGGCAGGGGATGAGGAGGGGATCAGGGAGTATGGCATAAAGGACACTGTTTGTCTGATGGCTTTTCTCAGCTAAAAGGTGGCAAAGTGGCAAGATTCTTCCTGGGGTGGGGGGAGATGCCTGATGCATGCACAGGGCAGCAGAAAGGACTACGTTCTGTCCCCTCTGCACAGGGCTACTATGCTGTGCTGCTTTATCTTACAGAGCTCTCCCTTCCCCCGCCTGACCCAAGGAGACGGGAGCAGGTGCCGTTCAGGAATCGGTTCTGGAACCCACCCCGGGGACTTGGTCTGCTACTTTGGTGGAAGAGCCAAATAGTGGGCACTGACCATTGCCAGGCATGTCTTGGACCTCTTGGCTTCTAGGACTCTTGGGGCCTTCAGCAAATTTACAAGAGAGGAACAAGGGAGGGAAGTAGGGCTGACATGTCTTCAGATTTCCTTCCACGCATGCTCAATGTTATGAGCAGTGTGTTCTGCTGTCTGTGGGTCCTTATGGGCTCTGAGCTGCAGTTCTGCTGCACAGCCCAGCCACTCAGTCCACACACTTTGTTTCAGGGCCTGGAGCATGTCCCCTCCTTGCCGTGCCTTGGTTTGCAATTTCTCTGTTGCTGGGATTTCCCAGTGTTTTGCTGTAGTAAGCAGAACTATTATGAATATACTTGAACTTTGGTTTTCTTTTGGTTCATTTCCTTGGGAGCTTATCTTAAGGAGCAGAGGTGATAGGTAATTTATTGCCTTGTTTGTGCTCAGGCTGCATGCGCTGCCCTGCATGCCTACCTTGAACTGCACATATGGGGGGTTGGGGAGGGGGACGCTGTCATCAGATGCTGTGGGAGGAGGCCAGGGCCATCTCTGGGGAGATGATGTGAAGAAGATATGCAGAACCCCAATCCTAAGGTCATGGGAGTGCCGCTGAAGGAGCAGTGGGAGGGGAGGGGTGGCCTTATCAGTGGAAGCAGGGTTGGTGCAGGTTTCCCCCATGGTTAGTAGCAGATGCGTTGCCCTTGGGTCAATAGAGAGCCAGCCAGGAATTGTGCAAACTGGGCACTGGCCCTGAGGTTGCAAGTTCTTGCCAAACTTGTTTTCCTCTTACTTTAGTCAATGCTGAGGTTTTTCTGTAAGTTTCTTCACTCTCACTCACCATCAGCCTGTGTTTCGTGGGGTCCCCTCCTTCTCAACCTGAGGCTTGCAACTCGGGTCAGTTTATGCAAGGGGCATGCACAAGAGTGATGAAGCCACCACTGGCAAGCAGGGTGCTTCTCTGCGGGGCCTGCCTGGGGCCAGGCTGCTGCCCCCATGCCTTACGTCCCAAGGGCAGTCGGTGCTGAGGTACACCTTGTCCCTAGCGTGGTGTGCTGCCAGGGCAGGGCAGAGGGCACGGCTTCCCTGAAGACCTCAGGCTTTTACATGGGGGTAGGCTCTCCTCCCTGAGGGACTATCATCCATCTCCGAGTTGTGTCAGAGTCAAGATGGGAACCCAGGGCTGCTGGACTCCTGGCCCCCCTTATCCCCTTGCCCCCCAACAGAGGTTCCCCTGGGGCCTCTGTGCTCTGAGGGAGACGACCTGGGGGAGAAGCAGTCTGTCTAAGGAGGGCTACCAGGTTAAGGCACTTGCCGAACCACGTGTGCAGAGGAGGGGCAGTGACAGGTCCCCACATCTGTCCATCTGCCTGTCTGCTATGGTTTTACCTGGCCCAGGTCCTAAGTATGATGAAAGGGAAGCTTTCTGAGGCAAAACCACATTTGACCATGTTGACAGCTGATCTGGGAACCGTGTGTGGTGGCACACGCCTGTAGTCCCAATGACTTGGAAGGCGGCAGGGTAGCTTGAGGCCTGTTTGAGGCTGCAGTGAGCTATGATCACACCACTGCACTCCAACCTGAGTAACAGAGTGAGACACTATCTCTTTGAAAAACAAAACAAAACAAAAAACTGATCTAGGTTACATGAGGCTGGCAGTTCTGCTACCTTGGTAGCTGTCCTAGCCAGCCAGGGGTGTAGGGCTGTCCTCAGACCCTTCCCCACCTGTAGCCTCGGCAACTTCTCGGATTGGCATACAGACTTGGTGGGATGTGGATGGTGGTGGGTGGGCTATCATTTTTTTTTTTTTTTGAGACAGAGTCTCGCTTTGTTGCCCGTGCTAGAGTGAGTGTCGTGGTGTCAGCCTAGCTCACAGCAACCTCAAACTCCTGGGCTCAAGTGATCCTCCTGCCTCAGCCTCCTGAGTAGCTGGGACTACAGGCATGTGCCACCGTGCCCAGCTAATTTTGATATATATTGTTGGCCAATTATTTCTTCTTATTATAGTAGAGACGGGGTCTCACTCTTGCTCAGGCTGGTTTTGAACTCCTGACCTTGAGCAATCTGCCCACCTCGGCCTCCCAGAGTGCTAGGATTACAGGTGAGAGCCACTGCGCCCGGCCAATGGCCGAGCTATCGGAACCACCATCCTTGTGAGCATTGGTCTGGGTCTCTGGTCTAAGCCCCTTGCGGTCCTTACCCTGGTCTACATGCCCCTCCCTGCTCCTGCCCGTGATTCCTCGGCAGCAGCTCTGCCGAGCCCCAGGCCCCTGAGCGGCCCAGATGCTGCAGGGCTGCTTCTGCTCCAGGTGAGCAGTCTGGAGAGAACAGACTAGAGAGTGAGGTGACCAGGACTGAGGGTGAGGGCGTGCAAGTGGGCACGGAGATGCCATGGAGAAAGGACTCACTGAGGAAGCAGCTTTGGAGCTGGGCTTTGTAGGCTGGGAAGAAGTTCGCCGCAGGGAGGTGTGCAGTGGCTGTGTGTGCTGGGAGTGCTGAATGATATTGGGGCTAGGGGAGATGTGAGAACATTAGGGTGTAGCTCTCTGGGTGGCAGATGCTGGGTGTTGAATACCTGGCTGGGGCTTGGCTCTGTCCTGCATGCGTCAGGAACTCCCTAGCAGTGCCAGCCAGCAGCACGGCCGGTTGAGCTTTGCATCTGGTGGCGTACATCAGGATGAGAAGGGCTGGCCAGATCCCAGTGCATCCGCCAGAGCCCCAGACTGGCCTGGGGAAGGGGACATGCCAATAGTGGCTTGAGACCAGGTTCTGGGAGCACTCATAGAGCTGGCTGATGCCAGGAGGCCAGGAAAGTACATCTGGTGCAGGGCGGGTGCAGCCTCCTGTGTCCTGAGGCTGAGAGACTGCAGGCAGAGAGGAAGGGACACACAGGACGGGTCCTGGCCCCTGTCTGATGCTGTGTGCTGCTTGTCTTTCAGTTTGCATGACCAACTGCCCGACGCTCATTGTCATGGTGGGCCTGCCTGCCAGGGGCAAGACCTACATTTCTAAGAAGCTGACTCGATACCTCAACTGGATCGGTGTGCCCACTCGGGGTGAGGCTTGGCTCAGCTGTCCAAGGGGACGCTGGGGCTTTGTGGGGGAGGGGGAGAGAAGAGAGAAGGCTGGACGGTGGGCAGAGCCTGGGGGTGGGTCAGGGTCAGGAGTTGTGGGGTTGCCATTGCTGTGAAAGCCGAGCCTCTCCTTCCCCCCAGAATTCAACGTGGGCCAGTATCGCCGGGACATGGTGAAGACGTACAGATCATTTGAGTTTTTCCTCCCAAACAACGAAGAGGGCCTGAAAATAAGGAAGTATGTTGGGGGCGGGTGAGGGCGGGGGTGCACCACTGTCGGGAAGGCTAACAAGTGACCGCCCGTTTACTGACAAGCCCCTGGAGCCTAGTTGCGGGTGAATGGCTGAGCCACTCCTTGCTGTGACAGGGCTGGTCTCCTGAGCTCTCAGCATGTGGTGGTGTTAGGATGTGATGGGTTTGCCATGAGAGGAGAAGGTGTGTAGCCTTCTCTTGGCTGGCCTGTCCCTGCCCTGGCGTTAAGGAGCCTGTGATAAGGACATCCTTGGGAGGGGAGGGGGGAGCTTCAAGAAGTGAGGGCGGCTCGCCAGGGCTGGTCAGGCTGCTGGTCAGGTTGTGCTTGCTCACCCAGGCCCTCCATGGGCTGCTGGTGTGGAGGGGAGCCTGAGCAGGTGCACGAACACAGGCCTCAGGCATGGGGGGCTTTCCTCCCTTGCCCCCGATGAATCCCTTCCTGTGTATCTGGAGCATGTTTGCCATGTGCTTGGCATGTTCCTGGTGTGTGTGGAGCAGGCCTTGGCTTTGCTTTGAGGTGGCCTAGATGCTGTTGGGTGAGTAGTTCACACTCCTGCTGTTATTCATGAGATGGAAATTTACATATGATAACCATCCCCTTCCCCAACACTGTTCTGGGCTTGAGCTGAGCACTAGCTGGGGGATCAAAAAGCCACTTGTCAGCCCAGGGTGGCAGGGACTTGCTCTTAGCCCAGTCATCAGGGTAGGGCAGTGAGTTGGCCAAGGTTGGCCCAACTCTAGCAATGTCCCCAAATCATGCCCAGCCCCAGGCCATAGGCCACTGAGGTCTTAACATTAGGCTATCTGTTCCTTCTCTGGCCACCAGGGGACAGGAGCTCCCCACTGTGGGCCTGGACCTTCAAACTAGGGACTGCTTTTGTTCTCCCATCATTGGGGCCGGGCCAGGCTGCAGCACTGAGAAGGAAAAGGAAGTCTGACATTCAGGTTTCTGTGGCCAAAATGTCGGTAAAGCTCAAGCCTGGGCCCTCTGGTGGTATCAAGCCAGACAAAAAGGAAAGGACTAATATTTGAACCTACTGTGTGCTGGGTGCCAGATGCCTATTGTCCCACACAGCCCCCTTTTACAGGTGAGGAAACTCAGGCTCAGAGAGACCAAGAATCTTGCACAAGGTAACAAGTTACTTTGCAGAGCCCAGGCCTGAATCTAAGCCCCTCTACCACCAAACACTGCCCATTATTCCAACATTATTCAGTACAGAGATCAAGGAACATATCATATGCAAATCTTAAAACACCCCCATGCTGTAGGCATTGATAGATGAGCTCATTTGACCTTCCCTACAGCTTTTACGGAGGGTGGTGCCTTCCTTTCACAGAAGCTGAAACTGAAGTCAGAAAGTGATGGTGTTGTTGGGGGTCCCTCAAGGTTTGAATTTGAAGCCAGGCCTGTCTGAATCCGTAGTGTTTGTGGGAAGAGTAAGGGAGCTGGCATTCCCAGAGTCACCAGCCATCCCACTCAGGCTGCCTATCAAACATAGGGATATTGGGGTTAGTTCAAATGGGGAGACCTAGACTCAGAGAGGGTGGGAGCTAGTTCAAGGTCACCCTGCAATAGGAGCCGGGGGCAGGTTCACATGCTGCTTTTCTGCAGGCATACCTGCCACCGTTCCCAGAAACCCTCCCTCTTGTATCCAAAGCCTGGGTCTGGCCACTGGGCCACAGGGCTGTTCCTATTAACCAGTCCTAAATTTCCTATAAGTAATTGGCAGAATTAAAGGACCAGAGTTTTTAAAATGGAAAACCTGGGAAGAGAGGGCTGCATTTCCCAGAGGTCTAGTTACTCACACCTCATTGAGATCCCTAGCACTACACAGTTTTGAGGTCCATCTCTGACACTGGACCCAGTGGAAGGTCTAGAAAAGTGCATGCACAGTCATATGTGCACATAAAAGGGCATGTGTACACATATGTTATCAGGCACACTGATACTCCTGCATGCAGCCCAATACCATACACCACCCTCCTACACATCCATGTGGGCACATGTGTGCATGTGCAAACCTCATAGGCACACATCTGGACACAGACATACACCCCATATGTAAACAAGGGTACATACATACACATATACACCCCCATGCATGCAGTCACACTATACATGAGGGTGTGTGCACGCGTGTGGGCACCCACATGTATAGACATGAGCCACTGGGCTGGCCCAAGCCCACATGTATAAATACTTGGACTCACTCATATTTGTAGTCACACACAGCCACACACCACACACAGGGCAAGAATACACAGGCACCCATGTGCTGTACATACATATACATGTGTCAGGGGTCCCCAAGACCACCTTCAGGTTCAGAGAATTACAGACTGACTCACATATAGTGCAACTCATGGCTAAGATTTATTATAGCAAAATGATACAAAGCAAAATCATCAAAATCACTCCAGAAAAGGAGCCTGGGGTAAAGTCCTGAGGAAGCTGGGAGTGAACATCCGGGATTCCTCTCCCATGGAGTCATGCAGGATGCACTTAATTCCTCTAGTAGTGAATGTGACAACACATGTGAAGTGTTGTCTGCCAGGGAAGTTCATTGGAGGCTTAATTACCAAGGATGTTACTGGGGGCTGGTCACATAGGGGCCTTGTGCGTAGCACGTACCAAACGTCCAGACTCCCAAAAGGAAAGCAAGTATTCAGCATAAACCAGGCTGTGTGTATAAACAGTCTAGACACAGTGAGCTACTCTTACTACTTAGGGAAAGTTTTATATCAGTGTGGGGAACTGTTTACCATTCAAGTTCCCGGACCCTAGCCAAAGGCCAACCCTGCAAGCAGGCCTTTGGAGGGGTAGCATTCTCAGGCTTGCTGTGTTAACTCTTCCATACACAAACAGTCACTCATCACACATGAAGGTGGGTGCACACACATGCATACCTCATAGGCACGTGCGACGGCACATATACACTTGTGCTCACCCTGTATGTACACATGGGTCTGTGCACACATACACACCGAGCATGCTCATGTATGTGCTCACAGTCACATACCACACGAAGGCATGTGTACACATCTGGGCACAAACATGCAAATCCTGTATTCATGTGTGTGGACACACACAAAAACTTACATGAATGCATACACACACGTCCCATGTGCACACCTGTGGCACTTCGTTCATACCTGTGCTCCTTCAATCACATGCCACACATGAGGGCTTTGGCACACTATGTGCATCCATAGCTGCACTCACATATGGGCCCAGGAAATACACTTGCACACTTATATGTATGCATATGGGCACAGCACACTCACACATACCTACCCATACATGTGGATGCATGCATATGTGCACACATCTCACTTATACATATGTACACACAGGCTCCCAGGCTATTCCCTCAGTATCTTCACTGGGCCCTGAGATCCCCCAACATGGTGGAGTTGTAGCCAGAGTAGCCCACAAAAGAGACCTGAGCCCAGAACATGGGGGTCTAAATGCAGGTGGTAAGAAATGGCCCCAGTTGGCCAGGAGCAGTGACTCACGCCTGCAGTCTCAGCATTTTGGGAAGCCAAGGCAGGGGGAATTGCTTAAGGCCAAGAATTTGAGACCAGCCTAGGCAACATAGTGAGACCCCATCTCTAAAAAAAAAAAAATTAGCTCAGCATGGTAGCCTGAGCCTGTAGTCTCAGCTACCCGGGAGGCTGAAGCAGGAGGATCATTTGAGCCCAGGAATTTGAAGTTGCAGTGAGCTATGATGACATCACTGCACTCTAGCTTGAGCAACAGAATATGATCTTGTCTCAGAAAAAAAAAAAAAAGAGGCCAGGTGCGGTGGCTCACACCTGTAATCCTAGCGCTCTGGGAGGCTGAGGTGGGCAGATCCTTCAAGGTCAGGAGTGCGAAACCAGCCTGAGCAAGAGCAAGACCCCATCTCTACTAAAAATAGAAAGAAATTAATTGGCCAACTAAAAAAACATAGAAAAAATTAGCCGGGCATGGTGGCACATGCCTGTAATCCCAGCTACTAGGGAGGCTGAAGCAGAAGGATCGCTTGAGCCCAGGAGTTTGAGGTTGCTGTGAGCTAGGCTGACGCCATGGCACTCTAGCCCAGGCAACAAGAGTGAGACTCTGTCTCAAAAAGAAAGAAAGAAGGAAAGAAATGGCCCCGGCAATGTCTTCCACCTTATAGGAACAGAGTTAGCCAAAGACTGAAAATTATTCCAAGGAAAGAGAAGAGAAAGCTTAAAGAGAGAGAAGGAGACTAAGGGGCTGTCCTTTCTCCTTTCCTGACCTGCCACCCTTGGACAGCTGGGGTTGGATGCTGGGCTGACCCTGTGTTTTTTCTCCTGAAGACAGTGTGCCCTGGCAGCCCTCCGTGATGTCCGGCGGTTCCTTAGTGAGGAGGGGGGACATGTGGCGGTGAGTATGGCACCCTGGTGACAGCTGGGAGTGACACATGGGAGCCCACTCACATCTGTGCCTTTGCTCCTCAAGCGTCTGTAGGGCAAGGCAGGGCGTATGAGCCCTGGGTGTCCCTGGGTGCTGACCACTGGGAGGAAGTCTGCGGCAGCTGAGCCGGAGAAAGCAAGAGGCTGGGTCTGGGCCAGGACTTTCCCTCTGGGCATGTGGCTGCATTTGGCCCTGCAGGACTTCCCTCTGAGTATGTGTACTGTTGGCCACCCCAGAAGTTACCAGTATCATGTTACCCAAGTCTTCAGTAAATGTGATTTTCCCGTGTGGGGAGAGTCCTGCCCAGCATCTACTAGCTGTTGCAGGAACCAGCTGAATCCTGGGAATTCCACCTGTGTGTCGGCCCCTCCAGTCATGGGACAGGGCTGAGATGGGGTGTCTCTCGGGAAGGTCTTACCCTAAGCTATCTAGTCAAACATGGGAGCTGTTCATTACCTTCTTTTTTCCTTCTAGAGCTCTCTGCCCCCCAGCTCCAATCTGGATTAGTTGCCTGTGGCACAGCGTTCACCCTGGACTTTCTTTCTCCTTTCTCCTGGGCTGAATGTCCTGCTCCTGGAGCCCACCCATGTTTTCCTCTCCTTGGTTTACTGACTTGTTTTGTCGAAGTACATCCTATAGTAGCTTTCTGAGGAAGGTGCTTGGAAAGTAAATTGTGTGAGACCTTGCATGTCTGAAATGTCTTTTTTTAATCCTTGCATTTGATGATTGAGTATTGAATTCTATACTCAATTTAGAGTATACTGTATACTCAATGGAAAGCACTTTTCCCTTAGAATTTCCATGACAACATTGCTCTATTGTCTTGTGGCTTCTAGAATGGCCGTGGAGAAATCTGATGTTATTCTGATTTGATGATCTTCTTAAAAGTTTCATTTCTTGGAGGGAGCTGGGGGCTTCTCATGCCCCTTCCTCCTGGGAGGCCTTTAGGGTCTTCTGGGTCCTCTCTTTTCCACCATGTTGGGTCTTAGGGGGCCCTTTTCATTGGAAATCACTTGTCCTTCAGGTCCGGGATATCATCATGTTTTGTATCTTTGATAAACCGCCTCTACCACTTTCTGGCAAGCTATTCCCTCCCCTTCTCCCTTGTTCTGAGCTGCTTTTTCTAGAACTCCTGGTGGCTGCATGCTTGCTTGGCAAGAATCTGCTCCCCTGCCGGGAGCACCAGCACCCACTCCTTCCAGCTTCCTGGGGCATCCTCCCTACGGAAGGGGAGGACCATCCCGGCCCTTGCAAGTCTGCAGGAGACTGGCCAGGCAGGTGGCCCTGCTGGTCCTGCTGACTGCAGCCAGTCCTGGCAAGAAATCCAGTCCCCAGAGATGCCTGTGTTGCAGCCCTTGGGTGGCCTCCTACCCTCTCCAAGGCTAGAGGCTGAGTTAACCCCAGTTTGGTCCTAGGTTTTTGATGCAACGAATACCACCCGAGAACGGAGAGCGACCATCTTTAATTTTGGGGAACAGAATGGCTACAAGGTGAGGCCTCCTTGGCTGCTGTCTTTGGCGGGGCTGTGGCATGTCCTGGCCCCCTGGAGCTCCTTTCACAGCCTCCTGGTGCATGCGGGGCATGAGGCAGGCATGATTCCTGGTGTAACTTGGGATGAGAGAGGCTGTTCTTTTCTCCAGCTGGAGTTTTCTTTCCAGGGGAAAGAGGTCTTGGTGGGAGGGTCCAGATAGGGTGGCACCTGCTGCAGCTCCGTGCTGCTTGGCTCTGCCCCCACCTCCCAGGAGAAAGGCCTTGGGGGCCCCGCTGCTGGCCAGCATGGCCTTCGGTGGGGTGGAGAGAGCTCCGTGCAGCCAGGCCCAGGCCTAAACGTGCCGCGGTTCCTTCTCTGCCGCCCTCCCTGTGCTCCTGGCCCTGCTGCAGACCTTCTTTGTCGAGTCCATCTGTGTGGATCCTGAGGTCATAGCTGCCAACATCGTGGTGAGTGGTGCGTCCGACCTTGTCAGGGGCAGTAACAGAACAGAAGGTCGCAGTGGTAGTGAGTCCCTTTCCAGGTTTTGGCCTACCTTAATTTGGTCTTCCTGAACCTCTCGGGGTAGGGAGGTAGCGTAACCTCACACGTTGGGGCTGTGTGGCTGGCAGGCATCCTTTCCCGCTCCCCTCCTACCTTCTCTCCTACCTTCCTCCTCTGCCCTCCTAATTTCTGTTCAGGGAGAGGCTACTTCGGGGGGGGGGGGAGGGGGAGGTGTACATTTGAGAGAGAGAGAGACCAGTCCGCCAGTCCACCCTGGTTATCTAAGGAATGGCCATGTGCGTTTGGGGAGGTAGTTCAGGGTGGGGAAGGGCTTCCAGGCCTCCCCCTGTACTGCAGAGGTGATATCAGGGGCACTAGCTCCTGTCGCCACTGGTGTGAGGACGCAGACCCGGGAGCTGCCGCACCTTCCTAGCAAGCGCCAGCCCCCAGGGTGGCTTCCAGCCTCAGGCACCCGCCCCAGCCCCTGCCCTGTAGTCTCCCTGGCCTCCCGCCCTGCCTGGCTTCCAGCTCTCATGTGTCCTTGCTCTGTGCCCGGCTCCGGCAGCAAGTGAAACTGGGCAGCCCTGACTATGTGAACCGAGACAGTGACGAGGCCACGGAGGATTTCATGAGGCGCATTGAGTGCTATGAGAACTCGTACGAGTCGCTAGATGAGGACCTGGACAGGTGAGTGAGGAGAGCATGGTGTCCCGCTGCGGTGTTGTGGGGGGTGCACTTGGCCACCTCCTTGTGGCTCCCCGTTGTGGTGTCCGGGGGACCACACCAAAAGGCAGAGATGGTCTGACCTTTCTGTTTCTTTCCTCATGGCAGAAATAACTGGCCAGAGGTGACTTGCAGAACACTTGTTACCTCATCTGCAACTCTGAGTCAGGATTTTACACTGTTCCATCATAAAATCAAGCCAAATTTCTATGCAAAGGATCTTCCCACAAGGCATTTGTAAACATTACATGCTCTTCTTAAACGCGTGGTCTGTTTTGGGAAGTGGGGAAGGGCTCCAGCCCCTGCCTGGGAACAGCTGGCAGAACAGTGCTGGGTAGCCACCAGCCTCCCTCTGGAATGGCAGATCCAGCAGGGGTGTCGGGTGGGGAGGGGTCTTTATGCCCGTAAGGGGCCTTTAGCTGAGATCTTACAGCAGGGGTCACCAAGCTTATAGAGGATCAGATAGTAAGTATTATATTTAGGCTTTTTGGGGTATACAGCCTCCGTTGCAGGTACTCAGCTCTGCCATTATAATACAAATGAAACAGAGATAATATGTAAATACGTGAGCATGGCTGTGTTCCAATGAAACTTTATTTATTTATTTAATTTTTATTTTTTTTATTTTTTTAGACAGCGTCTCCCTCTGTTGCCCGGGCTAGAGTTCCATGGTGTCAGCCTAGCTCATAGCAACCTCAAACTCCTGGGCTCAAGCGATCCTCCTGCCTCAGCCTCCCAAGTAGCTGGGACTACAGGCATGTGTCACCATCCCCGGCTACCTTTTTCTATATATTTTTAGTTGTCTGATTAATTTCTTTCTATTTCGGTAGAGATGGGGTCTCGCTCTTGTTCAGGCTGGTCTTGAACTCCTGAGCTCAAGTGATCCTCCTGCCTCGGCCTCCCAGAGTGCTAGGATTACAGGTGTGAGCCACCGTGCCCAGCCAAATTTTTGTTTTGTTTTAAGAGACATGGTCCTCCTCTGTCACTCAAGCTGGAGTGCAGTGACAAGATCATAGCTCATCACAGCCTTGAACTCCGGGACTCAAACTATCCTCCTGCCTCAGCCTCTTGAGTAGTTGGGACTACAGGTGTGCACCACCATGCCTAGTTAATTTTTTTTTTTTGAGATAGGGTCTTGCTCTGTTGCCCTGGCTAGAGTGTAATGGTGTGATCATAGCTCACTACAACCTCAAACTCCTGGGCTCAAGTGATCCTCTTGCCTCAGCCTCCCAAGTAGTTGGGACTACAAGTGTACCCTACCACACCTGGCTAATTCTACTTTTTGTAGAGATAGAGTCTTGCTATATTGCCCAGGCTGGTCTTAAACTCCTGGCCTCAAGCAATCCTCCTACCTCATCCTCCCAAAGTACTAGGATTACAGGGGCCATTATGCCCACCTCCAGTGAAACTTTATAGAGACAGCTCGGGGGCCAGACATGGTGGCTCACGCCTGTAATCCTAGCACTCTGAGAGGCTGAGGCAGGCAGATCGCTCAAGGTCAGGAGTTTGAAACCAGCCTCAGCAAGAGGGAGACCCCATCTCTACTAAAAATAGAAAGAAATTAATTGGCCAACTAAAAATATATAGAAAAAATTAGCTGGGCATGGTGGCACATGCCTGTAGTCCCAGCTACTAGGGAGGCTGAGGCAGAAGGATTGCTTGAGCCCAGGAGTTTGAGGTTCCTGTGAGCTAGGCTGACGCCACAGCACTCTAGCCTAGGCAACAAAGTGAGACTCTGTCTCAAAAAAAAAAAAAAAAAAAGACAGTTTGCAGGCTGAATTTGCCTTGCTGGCCATAGTTTGCCAACTCCTGTGATGCAGTATAAATGGACAGTGTAGCCCTCAGTGAAGTATTACACAGTCATTATAAATCATAATTATGTAGACACATGGGAGAATGTAATGCAGCATTAAGTGAAAAGGCTGGGATATAAACTGTGTTTGGGTCATTTATAGTTATATGAAAATACGTAATGCATATGAACCAAGGAAAACAAGCAACTGTTAGAGGGGTGGTTTGGGGTGTTTATACAACAGCTGCCCCTGGTCTGGCCGTGCATCTGTCCTCCGCTGGGCTCTGGAGGCAGCCCCAGTCTAGAGCGGAATGGCACCTGCTGCCCGGGCCTGTCCGTCTTCCGTGTTTCCGCTGGTGTCCCCAGTGCGGCATTTCTCCTCGTGGCTCTGCAGCGTGCCCACGTTACAGGGCTTGTCTGGAGCAGCTGCTGGTGGATTGTCAGTAAACGTTTCTCCTGTTTTTATTGGTGGTGTCAGTGTAACACCCCCGAGCTGAGGTCGCACAGTCCAGACAGTGAGAACTCAAACGAGAATATCCCGAGGGCTCTCAGGCGGAACCCGAGCCCACCCCACCCTGCCTGCACGAAGAGACGTGTGCTCTCGCGCTGCCGCGCACAGGTCCCAAGGAGGGAAAGGCCGGGCTGGGTTTATCGGCTGCTGCACCTTCCTCCTGTGCTTCTCGTTTCATCCACCAGCTGCCTAGTACGGGCTGTGGCACGCGTGAATGACCTGGGCCGGGCTCTAAGGGGAGGAGGTCACTGGAGAAGGAAAGGCCAGGTCCATGGACGGCTGACCAGGAAGAGTGGGGACGTGGAGCGTTTGCCAGCTGCTCCCAGGTTGACCCTGGGGACAATTGTCTCTTGGTTAGGGGTACACAGTGCATTGAGAGCTCAGAGGTAGGCAAGAAGGGGTCTGCGAACACAGGAGCAGTGGGAAAAGCCAAAAGTGGTATGGCTACCACTTGCTTTGGATGTCACCTTTTGGAAGCATGACGTGTGATGAGCACCTCCCACAGGGTGTGTCTGTGCCTCACGCATGTCGAGTTGCTCTCACCTCACCCCACCACTCGCGCACGAGCCGACGGTCCTGTGGGTTGCGACCTCGAGCCTGCTGGTTGGAGACGCAAGCCCCTCAGTGGTTTCTGTGGCCGGGCCCTCGCCACACTCTCAGGCCTCCCTCTGCCTTCTCTCTGGAAAGGGACCTGTCCTATATCAAGATCATGGACGTGGGCCAGAGCTACGTGGTGAACCGCGTGGCTGACCACATCCAGAGCCGCATCGTGTATTACCTCATGAACATCCACGTGACGCCCCGCTCCATCTACCTCTGCCGGCACGGGGAGAGTGAGCTCAACCTCAAAGGCCGGATCGGCGGGGACCCGGGACTGTCCCCCCGGGGCAGGGAGGTCAGCGTGTGTGTGTCTGTGTGTGTGTATGCATGTGCGTGCATGCGCGTGCGCACACGGTACCTCCGAGTGCTGGGTACATGCCTGTGTGCGTGCGCTGGGGCTGGGCTCCCTCTCTCGTAGCTAATGTGCCGAGGTGAATGACCTCATTCAGCCTAGAATGTTCCCATCGTGTAGGGAAGGTCACCAAGCACCAGGCAAATGCCTGGATCTCTGTGTTCATGTGAGCTGTCACTGGCTGAGCCTCTGTCCTCAGAGAGGCATGCCGCTGGGAGTGGCCTGAGTCCGCACAGCACAGGCGGCATAGCAAGCCCTCATGGGGGGTCGTGTAGCCTAGGGTGCATGGTCGGGGAGGCAGTGGACCTGATGTGTCACAGCTGGAACTGTGCACAGGGCCTAGGAGGATGCACAGGAACGCACGTGTGGGTATATGTGTTACCAAGAAATTAGTTTGTTTTACCAAATCTGTGTTCTCTGAGGTTTGTCATGAACCCTAAGGACTGTATGGCCGTGGGGTCTTTTGAGGGCAGCCCAAGACCTGTGGGTCTGAACTTGCTTATAATGTGTTTCAGTTTGCCAAGAGTCTGGCCAAGTTCATCAGTGACCAGAACATCAAGGATCTGAAGGTCTGGACAAGCCAGATGAAGAGGACAATCCAGACGGCCGAGGCACTGGGTGTGCCCTATGAGCAGTGGAAGGTCCTCAACGAGATCGATGCGGTACTTCCCATCCCGTCCCTCGCCTGCCCGTCTTCCTGGCACAGCTGTGCTCGCGCGTGATGACCCTGTCCAGAGTCAGGGAAAACCTTAACCTGCCCCATTGCTTTTTGATTCCTCCCTCCCTTTCTTATGCGTTCAACTATCTAGACCAATCAGGATTTATTTTAATGATCTGACAAAAGTCTTAAATCTGATCCTTCCCCAGTGAACTCAGTAACCGCCTATCGCCCCTTATCCTGTTACTTTCTTTTACTTCATTTTATGGGGAGTTCTTACATGTGTGATTTATGTATCTATCTGTTCATACACCAGTATTATACTGTTTTAATTATGGTAGCTTTTTACTATGTTTTTTGGCCATTTGGATAAGTGTTTTTGGAGGTCTTTTGCTCTTTTTTCCTATTGGATTGTTTGTGTTTTTCTTATTGATTTTGGGGAGTTTATTTATTCTAGAGCTGATACAAGCCTGGTAATTTGTGATTGAGAGCTAGACACTTTGTTTGAAGAATTTTGGAGACAATTTGAGGCTCTGGTTAATGTTCTCTTTCTCTAGAGGATTTACTTTTGCTTCTGGTAGATAGTTAGGGCTGGGCCACCTTTGCCTCGTCAGGGATAGAGCTCTTTCAAAGCTGTGCTTTGGTCTTTGTGGCAGCTACTCAATTTTCAGATTACTCCTGCTCTTAGGGTGTAGCCTTTAAGGTTCTGACTGAAAACCTCGTGAGCCCAAGCTTCTATTTTTTTCTCTCCTCAGCCCAAAATTGCTGACAGCTCGCCAAGCTTGTGCCCGCTTAGTCCCTACTTTTTGCTTGGCTTCTCGCCCTTTCAGCTGCCACTTTCCAATTGGCAAAAACCCAAGAGAAGAAATGATGCCATGTATCAGTTTCACGCCTTGGGACTTCACTTTGCTAAAACATCTTGGCCCCTCATGTCCTCCTACCTTTATAACTCTACAATCTCAAACAGATTTAAACATTTTTCTTTTTTTTTGAGATGGAGTCTTGCTTTGTTGCCTAGGCTAGAGTGAGTGCCATGATGTCAGCCTAGCTCACAGCAACCTCAAACTCCTGGGCTCAAGGGATCCTCCCGCCTCAGCCTCCCCAGTAGCTGGGACTACAGGCATGTGCCACCATGCCCGGCTGATTTTTTCTATATATATTAGTTGGCCAATTAATTTCTTTCTATTTATAGTAGAGATGGGGTCTTGCTCTGTCTCGCTCAGGCTGGTTCAAACTCCTGACCTCAAGCAATCCGCCCTCCTCGGCCTCTCAGAGATTTAAACATTTTTCTATCTGGCTTGTTTAGTTGCTCTTACTGGGTTGCTGGTCTGAAATAAGCTGGTCTTCATTGCCCGAAGCAGAAGTCTCTAATAGCATCAGATCTGAATCTTAGAAGGATCACCCCAGCAACTAACTGGTGTCAAGAATGGTTTTGTTGGGGTGGGGTGGGGTGGGGAGACAGACTGGAGAAGGGAGACTAGTCAGGGGTGCTTGCAGTGGCTGGTAAAGCGACATCTGTAACTTGGGTGGCAGTGGGGGAGAGAGAGGAGTGGGTGGATCTGAGGGGTATTTATTTATTCATCACATATTTACAAGAGCCTACGTGCTGCCAGAAACTGGACCCAGTTCTGGGGACCAAGATCCTGGTGGAGAAGTGGGGGTAAAAAGGAGTGAAGTGTCCAGGGTGGCTCCTAGCTTCCAGCCACTGGGGTGGCTCTGGGGCGAGGAAGGTGACACACTCACGTGAGGGCAGATCTGTGTCTGCTTGGTTCACCACACGGCAGGTGCACAGTGAATATGTACTGAATGAGAAAAAGTTTCCGGGACTCGTTCAAGGGCAGACACCCAGGAGGCAGTCTGGTCTCCGAGGAGGGGTCGGGGCTTATGCATTCGCCCACAGACATGGAACAGATGTGGTGGCAGAGAGTGGAGAAGTGGGGCCCAGGACAAAGCTCTGGGGAGTCTCTGCATTTAAGGGGCTGTGGAGGGCTATCCAGTGGGGTGGCAGGGACGCAGGCGGCTAGGGTCATGGAAGTCAGGACAGAAAGGAGGAGGCAGTGGCCAAGGGGGCAAGATACTGCAGGGTGGGGGACTGAAGCCAGGCTCCAAACGGACCTGTCTGAACAGTGTCACGGGTTCCGGGCCTGGTCCTGGTGGGACCAGTGGGAATGGGCGGGGACGTGCGTGGGAGGCACGTGGGCTCAGAGTTGAAGGAGGCTGGGCCGAGTGTAAACTGACCAGTGGGGCTGGTAGGAAGGGAGGGGGTTCAGGAGGCTCCGAGAGGTGCCAGTGGCCCGGGTTCCAGCATATCAGGAGGTGAGCAGGGCGTAGGTGCGCACAGGGAACTGTGTCTGGTGGCTTTTTCCCCTGGTTATCGCGTCCACAGAAAACCCCAGGCCAAATTCTTTGATGGTAGTAATTTTCAGTCGATTCTCTTGCTTTTCTCGAGGAACTGCCTTAACCTCCGGAATAACGATAATAGAGTTTTTGCCTTCCCAGTTTAAGTACCTTGCGTTTCTGTTTCATATTATTGCATTGGCAAGAATAAGTGATCGGCACACTGGATGTCCTTCTTCTGTTCTTAATTTAGTGGGCCTGCCCCTCAGTTCCCATCCTTTGGAATAGCTGATAGCAGTGAGCTGATCCAGTTCCTGTTTTGTTTTTTAACTTCATTATAGAAAATTTTCAATTGTATATAATTATAATTTTCAGTTATGTATAAAAAGCAAAGAGATTAAGGCATTGAATCCCCGTGTACCCAATACCAACGTCAACAATGTTTGATTTATGACCAGTCTTCTTTCAACTATGCCATTCCCATCCCCACTGGATTATTTTAAGGCAAATTCAGACATAATGATATTTCATTTCAGTATTTATCTCTAAAAGTAAGTTAAGGGCCCTCTTTTTTCTTTAACATAACCAAATCATTGTTTCAAAACTTTAGAAAATAGTTATTAAATATCTAATCTGGGATGAGTGTAGTGGCTCATGTCTATAATCTCAGCATTTTGGGAGGCTGAGGATGGAGGATGGCTTGAGACCAGGAGTTTGAGACCAGCCTGGGCAATATAACAAGACTCTGTCTCTACAAAAAAAAATTTTTTTTTTTAATTAGCCAGATGTGGTGGTATATGGCTGTAGTCCTAGCTAATTGGGAGGCTGAGCTAGGAGGATTACTTGAGCCCAGGAGTTTTAGGCTTCAGCGAGCTCTGATCATGTCACTGCACTCTAGCCTGGCTGACAGAGTAAGACTCTGTCTCTAAAAAAAAAATGTGTGTGTGTGTGTGTGTGTATATATATATATTTATATATATATATATAGAGAGAGAGAGAGAGAGAGTCCGTGTTGAGATTCCTCTGATGCCTCATACATTTTCTTTACAGTTTTGTTTGAATTAGAACTTAAACAAGGTCCACACATTGCATCATTTGTGTCTTTGTTTTTAGAGGTGTTTTTTCTTTTTTCTTTCTTTCTGTTTTTGAGGCAGTCTTGCTCTGTCGCTTGGGCTAGAGTGCAGTGGCATCATAGCTCACTATAACCTCAAACTCCTGGGCTTAACTGATCCTCCTGCCTCAGCCTCCTGAGCAGCTAGGACTATGGGTACATGCCACCACACCTAGTCAATTTTTCTATTTTTAGTAGAGCCGAGGTCTCACTCTTGTCCAGGCTGGTCCCAAACTCTTGAGCTCAAGCCATCCGCCTGCCTTGGCCTCCTAGAGTGCTAGAATTATAGGGATGAGCTGCTGCACCTGGCCTATTCCTTGGTCTATTTTTTAAAAATACATTCTTGAGTCATTTTTGTTGCCCACCAATATTTTGCTATGAAAAGTTTCAAACATATGACAGAGTTGAAAGACTTGTACAGACTAATAGACTCTATTAGTTTCCTGTGATGCATAATAAATTATGCTAAATTTAGTGGCTTCAAACAGGGTTCATTTATAATCTCACAGTTGCTGCGGGTCAGGAGCCTGGCAAGGCACGACTGGGTTCTCCGCTCAGGGTTTATTAGGCCACAGTCCAGGTGTCAGCCAGGGCGTCTGTCTCAGCTGAGGCTCGGGTCCTCTTCCAAGCTCATGGTAGGATTATCTCCATTTGGTTGCAGGGGTAAGGTGCTGTTTTCTTTCTAGCTGGCCGCTGAGGATGCTCTCAGCTCCTAGGGGCCACCCATAGTTCCTTGCCCTGTGAGTTCCTCTCCCGACTTGGCAGTGTATTTCTTCAAAGCAGATTAGGGAGAATCCCTCTCTTTCTAGTTTGGTAAAACAGAACCTTATATGATACAATGTGATCATGAGCTCAACTTCCCCTCACCCTTGCCCTAGTCTGTTGGTTAGAAGCAAGTCACAGATTCTGCCTGCACTCAAGGGGAAGGGATTATATAAGAGCTTGACTTCTCGGGGTTACCTTAGTGTATGCCTGCACCACCACCCCCATCAACCTTTACTACGCCCATTTTATTACTTTCTATTCATGTCTCCATCCTTAAGTCATGTCAGCATTTTCTTCAAAGGAGTCCCATTGGTTGGGGAGTGGGGAAGCAGGTGTAGGTTTAGTTGCAACAAGATTAGCTGTGTGTTGTCAATACGATTGGCTAAGAGACAGGTATGTTGGCTGGGCGAGGTGGCTCACGCCTGTAATCCTAGCACTATGGGAGGCTGAGGTGGGCGGATCGCTCAAGGTCAAGAGTTGGAAACCAGCCTGAGCAAGAGCGAGACCCGTCTCTACTATAAATAGAAAGAAATTAATTGGCCAACTAATATATATAGAAAAAATTAGCCGGACATGATGTTGCCTGCCTGTAGTCCCAGCTACTCGGGAGGCTGAGGCAGGAGGATTGCTTGAGCCCAGGAGTTTGAGGTTGCTGTGAGCTAGGCTGATGCCACAGCACTCTAGCCTGGGCAACAAAGCGAGACTCTGTCTCAAAAAAAAAAAAGAAAACAAGGTCAGGAGTTCAAAACCAGCCTGAGCAACACTGACACTCCATCTCTACTATAAATAGA